ATAACAGCTGAGAAATTTCTTAAAATTGTTTTATTTATCATTTGATTTAAAAAAAACATCCAGTTTTTTCAAATATTAATTTGAAAGCTAACAATATTATCAAATATATAAAAATAAGGAATATCCCTAAAAGATAGTGTTGAACGCGGTAAATCGACAAATCGCGGAAACCCGTAAAATGTTAAAAGATAGTTATTATTCAAAATTATTCCTACATATTTTTAATATACTTTTTACTAAACACATTTTTTATCAGTGTAGTATATCTTTTTTCATTTCTTTTGCCTTCATTGAATTTCTTTCAGTGTAATAAACCGGCGATCTCTCACGTACCTCAATTTGAAGGTCACAAAATTTGGTCCCCCTCACTTCAATAGTGCCGACGGTTTTTGTCGCTTCTCTACGATTGTTCTTCTCTGCTTCGGTCCTCCCTAGCATTTGTCGACCTTCGTCGACCCCCCCTATGCCTCTCCACGGCAGATTCAGTCTCATTAAATCGGTTTTTAAGCCTAGAAATTACACTTTATGTGACTTTAAATCGATCAGCCACATCGATCAGCCACATCCATCTGCCACATCGATCAGTCACATCCATCTGCCGCGCTTCGCCAAGAACCAAATGGCTTGATTTGCTTCCTCTATTGTTAAATGACGTCTGTTCATATCGATGACAGAATAACCACAATATCGCAAACTGCCGCTTAGCAACACGCAAACAAATTTTATTCTAAACAAAAATTAAATGTACATTTTTGATGATAATGCTTTTTATTTGTTTGGGTACAATTTTTTATGTTTATAAACAGTATTTTTTTTAAACACAAACGACATAGGTATTAATAGTTTTAACACATATTTTCTGAAAAAAATTCTTCCCAGCGAAAACACAATATCCTTAACTTTTTTCGATTAGTTTATTATTTCCTCAGATGATTTTATACAAAAGTTGTATTATACTTTTTTGAAGAGGCGTAAGTTGTACTTTTGTGTAGAATTTCGTTTCATTTGGAATAGTTATTTAAAAGTTATTTGCAAAAATTTACCTTCAAATTTGTAATACGGCCTAGAGAAAGCTCGGTCCCGTCGTCAATTATTAAAGACTCCATTGGATGAAGAATTGTGTTCAGAGTCCGGCGTTTTAATTAAAATGCAACTCGCAAAATCAAAAACTCGTAATACAAAACTAAAGTGTCAACAAAACGCATGACAATGTAAGGAAATAAATAAATCAATGCGGCAACTTGACATTTTTTACAGCAGAGCAATCACCTGTCCCTAGCGCGAAATTTAAATTCCAGTTAGTCAGCCCGGCGCCGAAATATATCTATGGTTGGCAACAATGAATTTAAAAATCGAATCGCCCTCGATCACGTAACTAAAACTTTAATTGATATCAAATATACAGGGTGATTCCTGTAAGTCGGTCATGCTTTCGGGGAAAGATAGAGGACGTCGAAATATTAATTTTGATATAACACACTATGGGTCGGAAATGCCTCTTACGTAAGATACAGGGTGTTAAATTTTTTGAAAAATTAAAGATATTCTTTAATAGTTTTTTAACAGTTGAAGGTATCGTTATAAAATTATATTATAGGAGTCTACCTAACAGGGACACTTTAAATGTAAGAAGAAAAGGTTCTAATTTCAACCAGTGGCGTAGATGTGATACGCATCGGGTCATTTTTGCAAAAAAAATAGTACGCCACTGATAAAAATTGGTTGAAACTAACACCTCTTCTTTTTACTTTTAAAGTGTCTCTGTTAGGTAGACCTCTATAATAAAATTTTATAACGATACCTTCAACTGTTAAAAAACTATTAAAGAATATCATTAATTTTTCAAAAATTTTAACACCCTGTATCCTTGCGTAAGAGGCATTTTCGACCCATAGTGTGCTATATCAAAATTAATATTACGACGTCCCCCATCATTCCCCCAAAGCATGACGAACTTACAGGAATCACCCTGTATATTTATTTTGTTTGTAAATGTAATTGGTGCTTTTTAATTGGTATTAGAATATCTAAAGCTGCGTATAAATATGTCGAGACGAGTGCGAGAGACACCCGAGACGAGTCAACCTCAAGCGGATTTGAGGTTGACTCGTCATATTTGGACGGGGTCTGAGCTTCGAGCCGAGCCTATGCCCAGCCGGACGGCGTTGTCTCCGTTTTTTCCGGAGCCTTTGGCGAACCATCAAAAGGATTGGGGCGTCTATTTAACCAGTGGCGTATACACCGCGGCTCCGCGGAACAAGTGCCTCGAGTCTCAAGGGGCTCGGATTCCACAACCCATTTTTATATAAAAATAAATATTCTTTCCTTTATTTGTAATAATGTTAATAATGCATCCTAACTAGAAAGATGCAATTTTGTCTTCTCTAAAATAGTATAGGTAAGTTAGCCAAAGTAGGTAAATCTCATATACAAAGATTTATTAGTGATTTCTTTTATAAAAACATGAAAATTTTATGAAAAATGAATAAACGTAATGAACTTTTCGTCGAGTTATTAACGGCTCAAACGTAAATTATGCGCTATTTCTGCTGAACGGAATTAAAGATGTAAAACAAGCTTCTTTACATATAGGATACATAGAAGATAAGAGAGGCAAATCGAGTGTGTTGAAAAAGGTGGCCATGCTCTCAGAAGTTCCTTACGGTACTCTCATAAATAAAGGGAATCGACAAAGAAAGGAACGATTCGATATAGAAAAATCCAGAAATTTGAACTATCCAGACTACTAAGAAACTTAATTTATGGCAAATATGAAAATAATAAAGTTCCCGCCATAGAAATAATTAAAAAAAAACTCTCCGAGCTTTAAAAAAACCCTGTTCAGAAAGCACATTACGGCGAAGGTTTAAAAAACTGGGAATTAGATTTAAAATTATATACATAATAATATTTTAAAAATTATTAATAAGCGTGCTGCAATGATGGAAAGCCATAGAATAATAATGTGGCGAATTGAATACCTTGAAAAAATATACAACTTTAGAAATGAAGAAATGCATATATATTATTTACAATATATGTTCCAGGTTAGTTATTGACATTTAAATGTAGATTTTTAAATTAATAATTTAAATCTTAATTACTTAAATTTCTAATTTTTTAAATAAATAAAGTCGAATTAGGTCTTATCTTACAGCGCTTTCAGATGGAACGGAGCGTCCGCGACGGACCGTCCGCGACTTCGAGCAAATACCATGAGCTTTTATGAACAATTTCACCTGGGTCGCGTATGCTCCGTCCGGATGAGCTATCTTGAAAAAACATCCGTGCGGACGCTCTGCGCGTACGGTCCATACCATCTGAAAGCGCTCTTACTCTATTTAAAAAATTTATAGATATACAAACCACATACAAAATATATTATTGAATAAAATAATTAAAGACTCAAAAAAAAACGGCACTGGCAGAAGGCTCCGCCGCCGCCGCTGCCATGCCGTTATCTCCAGGTATCTCAGTCGGCGTTCTCCAGTTTTTTTTAATGTAAACAGTCCGAATATAATTTAAATTTATCATGAATTCCTTTAATTTATCTGGCTTGTTTTTTTACCTATTTTGAAATTAAACAAACATATACAGGGTGTTTCAAAAAACATGTTCCATCTCTCGTGGGGAAGTTCCTCACGTAAAAATAAGATTTATTTTTTATATCAACCAATCCAATTCTGCTTTGATTCGTAGCTACAGGGGGTTAAGATAGGGTTCCCAACCGTCCACTATTCCAGAAACAGTCCTCTTTTTGATCTGATTGTCCTCTTTTCTCTCACGTATTGAAAACTTTGTTGCATACCAACTTCAAAATATAAAAAATATTTGTTTATCGCCACAATGCTTTAAAGAATTGTTAATCTGTGTCTTTTATGCAATTTTATGTTTACTTACTGTTAGTTTATGTCTTGAAAAAAAGTTTTGTTGCCAATGGTTTGCTTTATTTTAATATGTTTTGAGTATAAATATTTTTGTTTGTTTTAAATATTAATGGCACCGTTTATATAACTTTTTGGTAAATTCTCGACATTTGAGCGACGTTTCAAAAAGGTTTCGCCTGTGCCTCTTTTTATCCTTTCGCCCCTATTTTTTATTTTCAAAGTTGCCAACCCTAGGTTAAGTATTTTATCATTTTCTTCCAAGTGCTTTTAGTAATTTGAGATCGTTTGATGGCTGATTTAGTTCTGATCCTGGTAGTTTTTTGTAGAAAACAGAGCCACCAACGTCGATTTTTTTCTTTAAATGCGAATAAGAAAATATCCTGATTATATTCTGGCCTTATCCCTTATTATTTTTATTTACAAGCGATCTTAAATTTATAACATATACATATATTTTATTTAATTGTTAACATTAGGGTAGTTTTACCAATTGTATATGTGTGGAATTCCACTGATATGTGTTTTAAGTTGTTTGTTAAATTTTTAATTTTTTTTATTGTATTTTGCTCTCTTATCTTTGTAGTGTCCTGAAGATGCAAATAAATTTTGCGAAACGTCGACAAATTTAAAACAAAGGACTGCTGTTGATTTTTTTCGATCCTAATCCAATTAAAAAACACAGTATACTTAAATTTATTAATTCGTTTTTTAAAATATTGAATGGTATCGAATAATACTTTAATATATTTATCAATATTTTAAAGTATCGATACTTTATATTCAATACAACCGATACCAAAATATCGATACTGCCTCAGTATCGCATAGCCCTATGAAGAATTTTGTGGGTTCGCCAAAGGCTCCACTGAAAATGGATAGCCGCGAGACAACGCCGTTCGACTGGGCAGGGACTCTGCTCGAGGCTAAATCGCTCGGCTCGAGGCTATAATATGACGAATTCCGCTTGAGGTTGACTCGTCTCGGCATATTAGTACGCTTTTTGGAAAGAATTTGCTGTAGCCTCGTTTCATACTCGTTACGGGTTTGTCTTGTACTTGCCTCGGCATATTTATATGCGGCTTAAAAGTATTTAAAACTTAAATTACTTTTCAGCAACCGCAAGACCAATCTAGCGGGTCAGCGAACGTATCCACGGCAGGTATGTATTAATTTTGCTATGTTTGAACGAATGTTGTCTGTTTTAAAAATGCAATTCGTTTTTCAACGACTTCTACTTAACCAAGTTTAATAAATCTTTGTACACGCCATTCTTGTGGAAATACATCATTACTATTTCAACTATCCATAACGTTTTCCAAACCTAATATTTTAATTTAATTATATTTTCCGGTTATACAAAAAAAAAACATCTTCTGACTTTTATTTATTGGGGATACACAATCACTGACTTGTAGTCACTGTGACTAGTCAATTCGCATACCCAACAATGTTGCCGTTTGTTATCCCTTAATTTCGCAGTTCTGCATGCGCATAAACGTTAATCAGTCGGAGATGTCCACATTTATAAGACTTTATAATGCTCTTGTGAGGCCATTCTTAGAGTATGTTGCGGTAATCTGATCTCAAACGGCCGTAGTGTACTCTAGAGTCCATAGAAAGAGTGCAAAAGAAATTTCTCAGATATATGTTTGTTCGTAACAACCATTTCTATTATACCCGGTGCGTCACAAAAATGGCTCACCCCTATAAATTTTTTATTTTTTATATAAAAAAACGAGATTTGGTATGTTAGTATATGACATATATTAGGATTGATTGGCGTAATTATTGATTTTGGTCACTCCTTGTTTCACCGGAAATGACTACAACTTTTGATTTTAAAATGGCACCCTCGGTATATTTATACTTTATTCGATAGAAAATGACACCCTGCATAGAATGTCATATCGTATGTCAACTGTTGACATTTTCGCTTTAAAAAAATCGTATTTTAAATTTCAATCTAGAGTGCCATGGTTGTGTTAAAAACACTAATTTTTTAATCAATCACTGCAATCATTTTCTCAATTTTTTCATACGGAACAAGAGTGGCTCATTAGCATATTTGAAAAAAACATTTTTTACGAATAATTTGATACCACACACTTGGTATTTCGAGTTAAATTGTCGTAATAAACCTCATGTTAAAATTTCAAATAAACCATATGCGAAAATGTCAAAAGTTGACATATAATATGTCATTCTATTCAGAGTGTCATTTTCTACCGAATAAATAAAAAAAATCGAGAGTGTCATTTAAAACACCTACATACTAAGTCTCGTTGTATTATCTAAAACAAATAAAAAAGTTATAGGGGTGAGCCATTTTTGAGACGCACCCGGTATATATGGTTTGATATCTGTCAATGTTGAAAACATACAACTTTGTGTCTTTGGCTGTTGGAAGGAATATAATGCCTGTTGTGTTTGTGCACAATATTGTGAATGACATTAAATACAGGGACAGTTACATGACAAATTTCATGAATTTTAAATTTCCGAAATCTAATCTACGTTTGTTAAGCTCAGATATTTATTTTTTCTCTTATTAGAGAACAACGGTATACGGTCGAGTTGGCCTAGAAACACGTAAACGTTTACGTACGCATGCGTATTTCTTATATTTTTTATTTTTTATACAGGTAAAAGACTCTTTACGTCTACATATACGTGCCAGCAGCGGCCGACTCGACCGTATGCCGTTGTTCTCTATTATATCTAAAAATTACACGTTACTTCGTAGAGTTAAGAATTAAAAGTAGTTATAATACATAATTGTTGCCAAAATATATTGTGATTTAAAAAATATATAATATATTTACACATATACAGGATGTCCCAGAAATAAGTGCAAATATTTTAACTGGTAGTATAGTTTTTTGCGAAAAATTTTTTTTAAAAATTCGAAATTTTTTGAAAAATTTTTTGGATTTTTTTTTGTTTTTAGTTAAAAAACATAATTTCTTGATAATATGGCAACATAGGTGTTAGATTAAATTTGCAAGAAAGAAAATCCAGAAAAGATCCAGTGGTTCTCAAAATTTTAGCAAAAAATATTTTTTTTGGAAATTTTCAAAGTAAAATAACTCCGTTATTTTGGACTTATTTGAAAAACGATAAAGAGAAAATATGTTTCTTTTATCGAGATCTACCACCCCTTAAAATATTTGCACTTATTTCTGGGACACCCTGTATATCTACACTGTGTCAAAATATTTTTATACATATGGGAAATAGTAAAAGGATCTTGTGGTACTTGGTATGTTTGGCTTGGTGTATACTATTGCGTGTCATGCATTGGAACTTTTTTTATTTTTTCATCAGGTGTCCTATGCTACCTTTTCAATATCTAAGACCTTCTGTTTTTTCCTACCAATACTGTCTTTTCTCCTTCCTTTGGAGATACTCGAATAAAGAATGTTATACATAAGTATTCTTCTTCTTGGCATTAGTTGTTTTCGTTGTACTAAGGGGAGTCGGTTTTACCTCTTAAAAAGTAAAGAGACTTTTTAAAGCATCATCATGTAATAATGCTTGGGTGAATTAGTAGTAGACCTCTGCACACTACACATGTCATGGTTGTGTTGAAAACACTAATTTTTCAAGGAGATTTTGATGAAATTTTTTAATATGATGAGGGTTTTGGTGACTATTGTCCTAAAGTCGTATTATGCTGCATTGGATACTCTATACCAAATTTAAAAAAAAAACAACGTTAAAGACTAACGATACAGCCCCCTATACTATATATACCCCCCTTATAAACATTAACCTTTCGGCGGTCACGCTTTATTTTTTACATGATAGGTCACGCGCGGACTCTGACATCGCTTTCAGATGGAGCGGACTGTCCGCCACTTCGAGCAAGTACCATGAGTTTATATTTTATGAACAATTTCACATGGGTCGCGTATGCTCCGTCCGGATGATTTCGTCCGACGACTATCTTGAAAAAATACGTCGGACGGTCCGTCGCGGACGCTCCGCTCCATCTGAAAGCGCTGTGAGTCCGCATGCTAAATTCAAGAGGTCTTAAGCATTGCTAGCGGTGTAAAGACATAAAATAATATGATAATCAAATTAGAAAATCTTTATTGACTTGCTTCATTACAAATAGCAAACATAAACATAAAATATATAACATAAAACACGCAAAAACACATACTAATAAATATTATTCAAAAACAAAAATAAATGATAATGAAAAAATCAATCCGTAGAACAGTGAATACAGTACATTTGTAGAAGAGTGAATACAGAACATTGTGCTCAAAACATACAAAATTGTGACACTGTACACAAGAGTAACTAGTTGATCTGTTTTTCCACCTATCACAATTCTGTGCCGATACTCGGGTAATATTGTATTCAGTGCTTCAGAATCTGAAATTTATTCTCCTGTATCAGAATTAAATTCGGGCGCTTGCCTTTCGATAATATCCACTTCTCCTTCTTCCTTGTCATCGTCGCATGTTCAGTAGTTAATTCGTCATCTTCGTTCAAACAGGTTTGCATGATCTGTTGCAATCGTCTTTGCTCTGTCTTATACATAAGTACATCTAAAAAATAATACTTATTTAATAAAAAAAATTAGTGATGGGAAAAACCGATTAATTTCAATAATCGAGTACTCGAGTATCAACCGATTGCAATAACCGAGCGATCGCTCGAACAAAATATCGCTCGTATTTAAAAATACGGTTTTTCGTCCGCCGCTTGTTGTAAGTACTCGTTAACGCCAAGCGCCAAGCAGTAAGTTGCGTCCGCAGGGTACAGATTCTTTCGGTGACGAATGGCAAGTAGCAAACGACGAGCGATTCGCTTGATTTAGTTTATTTCAAAGCATTGTCGATGTAGGTCGAAAAATTTTGTCTCTCAGATACGCAACGGATAAATATATAGGGCGTCGTATAAATTTGCTACCTGCAATGTATGTAGAAAATTCGTTCGGCTTTTTATCGAGTATGCCACATTAAAATCGGATTTCAATTTATTTCATTCTAGGATCGCTTGCTTTCGTCGCTTGATACTCGTCACTTGCATCGCTCGTTCATAATCGAGTGATGTCGGTTATTTCAATAATCGAGTAGTTAGTTAGTTTTTTAGTGATCCTATCACTAAAAAAAATGTCGACTTCTTTTATCACAATTTACTTATTTTCAATTAAAATAAATGCGTAAATTAACTTATCTTGTTCGACATTATAAAATTATTGATGTAAAAAGAGTATAGACACACCGCAAGAGACACACCGCATATGAGTATAAAAGGACACTAACTACACTAAACGATGTGCAAATATACACTTCTCTTAAAATATGCAGGGACAGGAGGATACTAAGCAGCGCAGCATCTGATGTTTCCAGAATTTAAAATATCGGGAAAAAAAGGTAACTGCTGACCATGAGTCCGCGCGCGACCTCCGAAGTTAATATCGATAACAGAACTAAGGATATTAAAGAAAACATCTGTAATACTCAAGTATACAAACAGAAAAAAATTATAAAAAATACCCTGGCTTGAACGGACGTATATAGGCAGTTATACCCTGGTTGCTATAACTGCCTATACATATACGTCCGTTCATTCTGTCATTGAGGCTGCATATATCATATTGCGTTATGCTTTCCCATTCTTCTTTAAGAACCAAGCGAAGTAGATTTAATGAAGCTGGTACCGCTTGGGGACCTCTAACCCTCCTGCCAAACATTTCCCAAACGTCAAACATAATGGGCAGTTCATAGTAGTTTATAGTTCACAATAATAACCAAAGCCGTTTTGTCATATTGAAAAATAATTTCAAAAACAAATAATGATAATTTGTAAGAAATTGCAAATTGTCGGTGACAATATTTTTTACTTTTTATTTTTTTTATTTACTTTTATAAATTAACCAAGGCATGTATTGACATTATCCAAAAAAACAAAATGCTCCGGAGACATGGTCTTGACCGTAAAATTATATTTTAGGAAATTTTACACACGAAATTATTGTACAGGTGTTTTAAAGTTAAGTTAAAAAACAACGCCTCGATTAACCCTGTATAATATGGCAAATACTAAAGTTTATAAAAAACTGAGTTTATGAATTAAAATTGATATGATTATATACAGGGTGCTATAAATTCTAGGTACGAGCATTGGTATCTCGGTAACCGTAATAGATACGAACATAGTTAAATTTAGGCAGGTTAAAGTTGCGGAGACCAAGATGCCATCAAAAAAGTTTTTCAAATTTCAAGGGTTGCTGAGTTTTTCGGAAAAAACAGATTTGTTCAAATCAATTTTATTATATTTATTCCTGTCGTTACTTTTTAGAAAATCAAAAAACTAATTGCATATCCTTATAGCCAGTTTAATAGGGCTATCTGATAATATTTTTAGATTTTCAAATTAGCTGATCATTTGTGAGATACAGAGGCCAACTTATTTTTTTTAAATACGGACCTGCATTTTTTATTTCAGGTTTTGAAATAACTCGGTCTCCTGAGTACAATGATATGCCACACTTTGGCAATTGGAAGATTCAAATAAATAATATACAGGGTAGCAATTTAAAGATATTATTTTTAAATTATCGTGAATTTGAAATGTGAGTGTGCGACCTAATAATATGCATAATATTAATCGTAGTTATTATAAATAAATCAACTTCTACAAACTAGTTTCTAATGCTCTAAATGTTCGAAAGGGTTACCATTGCACAAATTTATTTTTCGTTCAATTTTATTTATAGCTCTTTGAACTTTCTTCTTATACTTCCTAATGCATTTTGTACTCTTTATTGTAAATGTTGAGATGTATTGATTTCACTTTTACAAATGACGTAACCCCCTTCCCCCCGCTCCTTGGTGACAGGTCCATGAACCTCGCTGGCCATTATACTGCTCTACCATTTCCACTCCATCTTCTGGGGAAATGATTTGATTGTCTATATTTTATTATAGTATATTTATATTATTTTTTATTATTTTATTGCATTAGATTTTCCGTATTCGATGTTTTACCCCACGTCATTGTTAAGTTTGAAAGCTTATCAATATTGTAACGATGAATAGATTAAATATTAAAAAAAAACAGAGTCGGACTTGAAATTAGTTTAAATAAATTGAAACAGAAAAAAAATTAAGTGTAGCATATGATTGTACTCAGGAGACCGAGTTCTTTCAAAACTTGAAATAAACAATGCAGGTTTGTATTTAAAAAAATAAGGTGGCCTCTGTATCTCACAAATTATCAGCTAATTTGAAAATCTAAAAATACTGAATCCGTAACAATACTATCAGATAGCCCTATAAAGTGACTATGAGAATGTGCAATTAGTTTTCTAAAAAGTAACGACAGAAAGAAATAAAATTGATTTTCAAAAAAATCTGTTTTTTTTTCAAAAAAACTCAGTAATCCTTGAAATTTTTAAAACTTTTTTGATGGTATCTTGGTGAACATCACAAAGCGCAACTTTGCCCCAATTTAACCATGTTCATATCTATTACGGTTACCGAGATACCAATGCTCTTACCTCGAATTTGTAGCACCCTGTATAGCTTGTTAAAAAATTCATGAAAATAGTGCTAAAAATAAGAAAAATATAACACTTTTTTGACCAAAAATTTCGTTGCGTTTTCTTGCATCTTAGTGTATATTAAGTGGCACAGTATCTACTATAATTATACAATATTTATATTCAATATATTTTTATTTCCAACCTCTAATGTGTTCTATATGATTTTCAGAAAGAAGTAGACAACAAGCAGATTTTAGAGGAAAACCCGGTAACTGGTTTTGAACTTATTTAAAATTTAATAAATTAAAAAAAATAACTCTCAGTTAATGTTTCAGTTCAAAATATTTTACTTAAGCGTTATTAATTTATATAATTACCAACAATTCCAATAAATATTATTAAATTAATATTAAATATACTTTGTTTTTTTATAAAAGTCTAAAATCTTTCTCTGTGATGAAAACTCCACAAAGTAAAAACATTAATTTTAATTAATAATAATCAATTTTGAAAAAAAATCGTATAATATTTTTATTAACTAAACTGACATGTTTTTCTATTTTAGGGAGTTCTCAACCAGAAAGAGCACCTTTAGGCAGTCCAGGTATGTTGATACAAATTTTTTTCTACACCGTGTATTTTAAAAGTTTTTATTACCTTAACAAAAACTTTCATTTGCTCCAAGAATATATTCTATTTAAAGATTGTTGAATTAAAAGACTATCCTCAACACTATTAATAGTATGAACTATTTTTAAGTCCTCTGCAATTCATAAAGCTGGATATTTCCTTTATTATACCATTTATATACAGTGCAAACGGTGTCAGGTTGCTACCCTATGGGGCTCCACTGAGACCTGTTCGGTGTTGAGATTTGAATACCGGTGTTAGGTGTTGAAGACCACCGGTGTTTCAGTCGGTGTACCGGTGTCAACACCGACACCGGTGTTTATCTCAACACCGGTGTTCATTTCAGCACCGGTGTTCATCTACAACACCGGTGTTTATCTCAACACCGGTGTTTATCTCGACACCGGTGTTTATCTCGACACCGGTGTTTATCTGAACACCGATGTTTATCTCAACACCGGTATCGCGATGAACACCGGTGTCGAGATCAACACCGGTCTCGGTGTCGATATCGATGGTGCCGTTTGTTTTTTTTTGTTTTTTTATGTAATACTTTTAGTTTATTTTACAGCTACGAATTTTTGTTTATTTATGTTTTGTTTTGTTTTCTGTTTGTTTTTGATTAAACAATTTTTTACTTTATAGTTGTTTATCTGATGCTTCCACTTTATTTTAGTGATTAGTCTGGCAAAAAAACATATTTAAATTTGAAAGTTTTAAGTTAAAGTCTGTGCGCGATAAACGATAAAAATAAGCACCGATACGACATTATTATTATCAGGGTTTATTTTGAACTTATTAATTAACATTATTTCTTCTTTAACCCGTTTATCAAACACCGGTGTCGTAGTCAAAACCGGTATCGAGATGAACACCGGTGTCTAGACCAACACCGGTGTCGAGATGAACACCGGTGTTGTAGATGAACACCAGTATCGAAATGAATACCGGTATCGGTATCAACACCGGCGTCGGTGCCACCACTGGTGTCGGTGCCAACACCGGTGTCGGTGTCGACACCGGAACACCGGATAGTCAATATTTCGCCACCGGTGTCAGCCCAACACCGGTGTTGAAACGGTGTTCCGGTGTTTGGAACAGGCCTAGCTCCACTAGATGGTGTGAAATGTTGTATGAATGGAAGCGAAACCTGGGTGCCGTATAGCCGCGCCGGCACACGAACGCATTACAAGTTGCAACAGATACACCTTAGACAACTGTTAAGAATCAAATTGTACCACCATGTATGTCTCAAACGTATCAGTCCTTGAAAAAACTAAGAATAGAATAAGATAACGAAGATCGGAAGTTGGTCGCAAAATGGATCATTTTCAAATTCATCCTTATTTCACAAACCAAGTGGGCTAGGCCCAATCTGTTTGTACCATCTTTGGTCTCATCGATAAATAGCATAATGATGTGAAAACCGCATCTTTATATTTCTACTCATAAACGTGACACCCCCTACTGATTGCCTGATTTTTATTTAGGTCCTGATTATTATTTTGGAAGAGCTCTAAGTGTTTAAAATTAGTTTAAAAATGCACTCCTTTTTATAGATTATGACATTAATGGTGTTTTTGACATGGGAATTTTATGAAAATCTACTAAAGTCGAATAGTTTTAACGGAAACAGGGGAAACTTACCCCTATTGCCCCAATCAATAACAGATCCTTTTAAATCATATGCACCTAATAACGCCACTGAAAAATATCTTCCGCTGGCGTTATTAGAAACTCTACGGTACTAGGTATCCAGTGGCTGGCGCCTGTCGGCCTATCCCACTGGTACGCCAGCTCATCACTGGCGCTATGCTGGACTATGTCGGGTTTTTCTTGTTACTGATTCTGAACCGTCCTAGAACTGTGATACGCATGCGTAGAAGGAAATACGGAGAAATTATTTCATTAGCGCATGCACGGCAGGGTTCTGGGGCGGTTCAGAATCGGTGATAATAAGAACCCGAACAAAGCTGTCGTTTACACGTTTCCAGTAGCTGATGACAGTTTTACTGGTACGCCAGCTCTTGACTCGGGCAGAACTGGCTCACGTTGTTACGAGTCCAGTTAGTTCTTCTTCTTGTTTTATGATGGCTCTGTTAAGTTAAACGTATTTCCCGAGTCCTGTTAGTTAAACGTATTTTTCCGTCGTTAGTTGTGAGGTTTGATTTGTTATCTTGTCACATGCTTGTCACTTAAAAAATAAATTCCAAAAAATTCTTTTTTGTTAAAAATTAAATCTATACATAAAATGTCTACGTTATTATTAGAGATTTTATTATGGAGTCGTTATTATGGTTCGATTTTGCTCTTGAAACAAATATAATTGAAAGATCCAGGAAGATTCATGAATACAGGTTGGCGTTTACTTTGGCTACATAGGTTACATTTCCTCCAGCACCGTATCTTGTAGATTTTTCAATTTTATCTATTTCTAATAGTATGTACTGCTAATACTCTTCATTTTGGCGTTAATATCATCAATACTAAGTCCTATTTGTCCCATTACTTCCTTTCATCCAATTTGCTTATTTTTATATTTATCGCTTTTAATATCCCACAAGCATTCTTGCTCTTTATAAACCTGAATAACCTTGAGAGTTTCATTTTTAGATAGTTTTCTGGTCAGTCTACTACAAATTCAATAATTTAATTGCGTATATAGCAGGTATAAACAAACCAATTATACCATATATAACAGAGGATCAAGAAATACACTAAGGAAGTACGCCAGCGTCTGGTGTCAATTCGTAGGTACGTCAGTAACCAGTAACTGTCATTACGTGTTTAGACGTATCTACAAGAGGGAACGCGGATGATGGTTGTATTGTATTGTATTCACTAAGAGTGAGTCCCAAGTGGGACCCTCCACGGCTGCCGCGAGGGCCTATTGTGGCTCAGTTTCTACAAGCTCTTTAATAGAAAAAGAGAATTAAAGTTCCCCCTCAAGATCCCTTTTGATATAGGCTGTTATGTCCGAGGGTGATATGTCTCCTAAGTCTGATAGGTCTAGCGTGGTTTTGCCAAACACCTGAAATCCGGTCCTGCCCCCAGCGGGGCAGGTACACATAACGTTCTTCATTGTTTCGTTATCTTCCATACAGAGTCGGCATTCGGCGTCTTCCACCAGTCCCATCCTCTGTAAGTGTGATCTCATCCGGTAGTGGCCCGTGTATATTGGTTTGGTTTGGAACGTACGCGCTCCATTCCTACCAGCCTTTAAGACTACTCCTGTTTTATGTTTGGATAGTCTTGCTATGTTTGGATGGTCCTAACCTAACCCAGCCTAACCTAACCTAACACAATTTATTTAAATTCATTTCAAGTCCGGCTCTGTTTTTTTTAAATATTTAATCTATTCATCGTTCCAAAATTGATAAGCCTTCAAACTTAACAATGACGTGGGGTAAAACATTGAATACGGAAAATCAAATGCAATAAAAAGTAATATAAAATAAATAATATAAGTATAATATAATATAAACAATCAAATAATTTTTCTGGAAGATGGATTGGAAATGGTAGAGCAGTATATAATAGCCAGCGAGGTTCCTGAACCTATCGTCAAGAGCCAGGGGAGGGGGGCATTATTTGACGTCATTTGTAAAAGTGAAACCAATATTTTTCAATATTTACAATAAAGAGTACAAAATGCACTATAAGAAGAAGATATCTTCAAAGAGCTATAAATAAATGTAAAATCGCTTATTTCTGGGGCTTACTCAACCGGGTCTCACAATACAAATTCACCTCCATGGGCGCCGGACAGGGGGGGCAAGAGGGGGCATTTGCCCACCCCTGGATCACTGAAACAATAAAAATAAAAGCTATACTTACATTCATCTGTAAAAAAATAATCATTATTATGAAATATTTAGGTGTTACCTGTAAAAAAATAAAAAATGTGGTAATTATTGGGAAAACTGGAAATCGTCCGATTTTCACCAAAATTGGTATACACACTATTTTGAGGTCGTAGATTACGAATCTACTTTTTTCTTGGCGGTCTCTTACCGTTTTTCAGAAAAACGGAAAATTATTTCAACATTGAATTTTTCTTTATTTCGGCCCTATAAAGTAATAATTTCACTATATTTTCATTATATTATAGTTTATCTAAAAGCCACACTTGATTGGGGATAGAAAAGTGTCCAACATTTTACTGAAAAACACTTTTCTTAACAAAATAGCAAAGAAAATTGAGACCAGATGGAAGTTTGACATTTGATATATCCTTCTTTCTCTCTCCTATGTAATAAGAGAGACAAATATATTCTAGACCTAATCTAGAAATTTGAAAATTTACAACGTTGCCATATCTTCTATTTTTTCGGGTGATTAGGGATTTTAAATAAATTACCTATTATGAGATCGACAATAATTAAATATACACCTATATCCACAAAATTACGCGGAAGAGTTTTGATTGCATTGGTTTTAACTTCTTTGCGGAGGGGGTTAATCTTTTTTTAGTTAATCTAATAATATAACAACAAAAGATTAACACCCTCTGCATGGAAGTTGTAACCAATGCAATCAAAACTCTTTCGTGCAACTTCGTGGGTATAAATAGTCAGATCTCGTTGGTAAAATAGCAGTTATGGGAAGGAGCCGTTCTTCTGGCGACCGCCTTTCGTAATTCCAGAATGAGCGAAAAAAACACGCTAAATTTAGGTTTAGCATTGGCAACGTTGCTTTAAATGCCAGAAACACATAAACTTACTTCGGGTTTCTCTTATTACCGATTCTGAACCGTCCTAGAACTGTGATGCGTATGCGCAGAAGGAAATATGAAGACATTATTTCATTTGCGCATGCGCTGCAGAGTTCTTGGACGGTTCAGAATCGGTAATAACAAGAACCCGAACAAAGCTATAATCTAACATTTTCAGATTGTTTACAAATTTATTTTAGCAAATTTTCTCTATTATGCATAGAATTGGTTAAAAAGTAACAGAAAATAGCAAAACCTTAAAAATATGAGAAATTAAGAAAAATTCGATATTGAAATTATTTTCCGTTTTTCTCTGAAAAACGGTAAGAGACCGCCAAGAAAAAAGTTCAGATTCGTAATCTACGACTTCAAAATAGGGTGTATACCAATTTTGGTGAAAATCGGACGATTTCCAGTTTTCCCAATAATTACCAAAAATGTAAATTTTTTATTCATTTTTACCTTGCCCCCCCTAAATTTCATTCTTCCGGCGCCCATGTTCACCTCAAATATCCATTTAGTTGGTCACTGGCAAGCACTCTCTCATTGTACATGAAAATAACAAAACAAACATTTACTGATCTGGATAAAATTAATAGTTAAATAGTAAGACTCACCCGGGGGTACTCCGCCCCCTAGATACTGATATATTCTATTCAATATATCCCATTCCATATTTTCCATCTAATTCAAATATAATTCGGTTATATATTGGTTAATAATCTTCAACAACTAGCTAGTGTCCCCTGAAATAGTATAGGGGCTTCCCCCGGACGCAACTCTGCCGCTAAACAGATTCGCATCCCAATCGAATAAGCTAATTGGGGTACCTCACTAGTCTCTCTACTCCAACGCCGCATCGTGTCAATCGAGAAGACAAGGGAGACCTGAAACTCTCAAGACCAACCTCGAAGGAAAGACGTCACCAGAGGTTTTCTTCCGGTCAAACGACCCGTTGCCTTACAGTACTTGCAACGTTTATAGTCAAAAGACTCTCAACCCCCAAATAGCTCTATGACAAAACACAACACAACAGCCGGCTGGCCAGTCTACTACTGAACCGCCGTAGGCAAGCTAAGCCTCCTCTTACATCACAATTTTACCGGATCGTAAATGTTTACATTACTTGCCAATGAATCATACTATTTTCTCTAATCGACTTTAAAATAGAGTGTTTTAGCATTACTAGATAAATAAATAGAGAGTTTCCGAATTATAAAACCATTATTATAACCAACTTATTTTCCAAGTTTTACATAAAATTAAACGAATAATAAATTTGTGCGATAGGAAGGGTGGTACATGTAGGTTCGAATATGTAGAGCATTAGAAAGTAGTTTTTAGAAATTGATTTATTTATAATAACTACGATTAATTTATGCATATTATTAGATCGTACACTGAGATTCCAAATTAAAAATAAAAAAAGTTATCGTTAAATTGCTGACCTGGATATTATTTATTTTAATCTTTCAATTGCCTCGATTTTCCTTATTCAATGTTAATTATTAGTGTTGATCAATATTGTTACGATGAATATAATCAGATTAAGTAATTTAAAAAGGCAGAGCCGGACTTGAAATTATTTTAAATAATAATTAAATAGTTTTGTTGTTGTTAAGGTAGGTACACAAAACAAAAAAAAGTATGAAGTGTGGTATGTCATTTTACTTATGAGACCGATTTCTTTCAAAATCTGAAATAAAAAATGCAGGTCGGTATTTAAAAAAAATAAGTTGGACTCTGTATCTCACATATTATCAGCTAATTTGAAAATCTAAAAATATTATCAGATAGCCCTAATATAGTGGCTATAAGAATGTGCAATTAGTTTTTTGATTTTCTATAAAGTAACGACAGAAAAAAATAAAATTGATTTTCAAAAAATCCGTTTTTTCCAAAAAACTCAGCAATCCTTGAAATTTTTAAAACTTTCTTGATGACATCCTAAGGTGCAACTTGGCCCCAATTTAACCATTTTTGTATCTATTACGGTTTCCGAGATACTAATGCTCGTACCTCGAATTTGTAGTACCCTATACCGGGTGTTGCATCGTCGGACGGGACATAGGAAATCCCATGTAAATTTTAATGGGGTCAATTATTGGCTTCCCTAATTATTTTAGAGAATAATTAATTCTATTTAGGTGTATTGAAGAGCACTAAAACCCACATTCAAAAGAATAACTTTAGATATTTTTGATTAACTCGTTTACGAGTTATCGCCGATTTCTTTTTAAATATTTCTCCTTTCTTATGGCCCTGTATTTACTTATGAGTACCAGTCAACGTAAAAGATAATTGTCAAATGAAATTGTCATTTCAGAAATTTACCTATTTAGTGCTTTATTATTATTGAAAACTCATTCCTACATCGGAAATCTTAATGATGTATTTATAAATACAAATTAATATGAATTAAAGTAAAATAAAGTAATCAATTACAAGGTTAATTATAGTATTATTACAATATTCAATAACTTATTAATTTAGGTACTATTAAATGACAACTTCATTTAACAGTTATCTTTTACCTTGACTGGTGCTCATAAGTAAATACAGGGTCATAAGAAAGGAGAAATATTTAATAACTTATTAATTTAGGTACTATTAAATTAATCATAATTAATCTATCCGTGTTTGCTCTTTCCATCATATCAAAACAAAACGCCTGCCGGCGTATTTCGTCCCCATCTCGTAGCTCTTGGTGCTTTTCATATTTGAAGGAATAGTATTTATGTCGTTTCAAAATTCGAAACGCTGTAGTGTGATCTATTTCTATTTCATCCTCAAGTTTTCTTGTGCTGATCTTTCCATCGTTCTCTTCCAGGCACAATAAAACTTCCAAATCGGTATCATTTCTTGCATCTTCTCTTTGTTCCTGCCTTACTTCACATCTGCAGTTATTTATTAGGGTACCTTTGGTCTCAAATCTCTGGATATTCCTTGCGATTGCAGATTTCCCAGGTATCGGTCTATTCGGATACAGAGCAGCAAACATGTCCGACACCTTTTGATAACTGTTTCCTTGATAATACCATTTAATCATCGTAGGTATGAGTTTTTAATAATAATAATAAAGCACTAAATAGATAAACTTCTAAAATGACAACTTCATTTGACAGTTATCTTTTACCTTGACTGGTACTCATAAGTAAATACAGGGCCATAAGAAAGGAGAAATATTTAAAAAGAAATCGGCGATAACTCGTAAACGGGCTAATCAAAAATATCTAAAGTGATTCTTTTGAATGTGGGTTTTAGTGCTCTTCAATAAACCTAAATAGAATTATTCTCTAAAATAATTAGGGAATGCAATAACTGACCCCATTAAAATTTACATGGGATTTCCTATGTCCCGCTCGACGATGCAACACCCGGTATATGGTGAAAATGTTTGCCAAGATTGAAATTATTTTGAAGAATATTTAAGAGACTACGGCGCGGCGGCGCGGCGGGTCAATCTTTAATATGCCGTTAATTGGGTCACCCACCTTAATATAAAATAGATTGGAGTAAAAATCTCACATACGGAAATCTGATCTAAACAGGAAATCTGACATACGGCCACTCTGTAATTATTTTATATTATATAATAAGTTTATCAATATATGATTTCTAGAACTGGATTCCTTACATTTCGAAAGCAAATTTCGTCGACAACAGGGAGGCTTATTTGACCGTTCTCCAGTTCCTGAAAGCGCGAGTCCACCTCAATTATCTGACGATGAGTCTTTTCGGATGTATGAAAGGTACTCTATACAGTAATATCCAACAAAAACGAATGAAAATGGAAAACAATAATCTATTGTAATCGCAAAACATTTTCCGATGCATGTCATCAATCATATCGACATTGACACTAAAGTCTATAAACCTGACTAAATACAATTTTGGCAAAAATGTTTAAATTTGTTGTATAATTTAAGATACCGAGTAGCTCTTCATTTTAATTTATAGAGCAAATGATTGTAACAGATATTTTATTTAGATTAAAGCTGCAAAAATTAGTTTAAACCGAATTTTATTATCGCTATGTTGGTTTGTGCCGTGTTCAGCAATGTTCTCCTTTATTATTTAACAATTATCCTAGTGTCAGTCATTATTTTGTATAATATTGTGTTGTTGTTGAATCTTTGTGGGTAATTCTCGTTTTTTTGCCTATTTTTATAGTCTTTTTTTTTAAATTGCACTTTTAAGCACAAACAGTTCTTCTAAGACACCACAAAACACCAAAACACTTTTACTTTTACACTGGACGCGCGTTTCGCTAACCATGTTAGCATCATCAGATGATTATAAACTGAAGAACAGTTTATAATAGTAAAAGTAAAAGTGTTTTGGTGTATTGTGGTGATTTAGTGTTTTTATTTTGCTGTGTAACACCAAAGGTTCCAACCCTCAACTGTAATCTTCTAAGAACTAAATTTTCGAATTGTTGGATTGAATTTCTTGAAACTGTATAACCCACAAAATTCTAAAAGTTACTGGTTTGTGGAAGTATGCTTTGGAATTAAATAAGACAATACAAATTTCACTAATGACCTATATTAAATTAACAATCTTAATAATCAACTACAATTGGCTGTGACAGTCTTGTCAGTAACAAAAATATAATCTGGAATACTTATGTGTATTTCTGCTTCGGTTGGTTGGGAGAAAGACCTCACCCTCTTCGCTGCACTCATCCGCCGGTGGGTAGCGTGATTATCCGGCTAACGTTGGAGAGCTTGTGAGACACAAGCAGTCTCAGTGCGCGAGCTACTCATGGAGAGGGTCAATTTTTGTATCTTCCTAGAAGATAACACAAACAGCAGTATTCTACTCAACACAATTAATAAGTACCCAGTTTTGTGGTGGTGTTCAAAAATCGCCAAGTAGCCTGTCACGTCGTTGCCAATAGCTTGTACAATAATAATACTTAAAATTTAAATGACATGTATAGATAGTGATTGAAATAAACAATATCCAATCTAAATCCAACTACTAATTATAGTAAAAATTATAATTAAAATTTAAAAAAATAGACAATGACAGTTTAGATCAAGTTATAATAATTGAAAAGTTCGTCCAAATTATTTAAAGAATATAAAGATAGTATTATATAAAAAAAATATAAAAGAAAAATATTTTTGCTCCCTCTCTCTCTAGAAAATTCCAGACCACCACAATCATTTTGGTACGACTTGAAAAAAATAATATATAAAAAACGTATAAAGGAAAACGTAACGAAAATATTTTCGATACAACTGTGTATTGAAAATATGCCGAAGCAATTAAACTATCCAAGCAATGAGCTTGTAGCTTCCCTGTTTTTTTTTAACTATTTTGAACGAGAACGTGACAATAAAAGTGGCAATATTACCCTTACTGCAGTCAGAAAAGTAAGTTTGAATGATAAGCACATTCTACCACTTTCAAAGTTAGTTTTTATTAAATTCTGTCAGTATTAGTTTGTGTATTAATAGCACCCTCTTACTTGTTATTACCACTTATGGAGTTGTAAGAGGTACAATTGTAAGAGGTATCAATAAATAAGTAACCCCATAATAATGCTTATAATAATCTTCCTAATGGACTAGTTTTTGCCAATATGTAATAAGTAAAATAAGCTAAAAAACAAATAAATAAATTAATCACTAAGATATTAGTTTTTAAACTAAAAATAAAACGTAAAACTCTTTAAAAAATGATATAATAAATATGTTGTTTGTCAATTTTAAATTAAGGTTCATCTCATAAATTTATCTCAATCTGGCAGCGCTGTCACCATCACTTGTCACTCAAAATTGATGACGCGCATCGGAAATTGATTTGCGATTACTATAGTACTATCAGAGTATACAGAGTACTACTGAAATTGGCAAACACATTTCGATGGCTAATAGTATTCCTATCAAACGAACGAAAAAGAAAGTTATTGCAAGTATAAAACATGTACCATGAAAAAGTAATTTTTGCTCCGAAAAAAACATGCTATTTTTTTCAAATATCACAAATAAATTTTTTAAATAATTTCAAACGTTACAAATAATATAAAAAGATTTAAAAGTCATATCTTGTATGAAATTATATATCGAGAAACTATGGTTACGCTTGTTGAATTTGACACTTCATGTCAGTTAATATTTTCGTACTTTTATGCTTAGGCTTAAAAGTGCTGTACTTTTGTACCTAGACGTTAAGATTACTTTTTTATATTGTCAATCACATCGCAAAAATTAATACTTGTGTGACGTTTGAAAAAAATATGTTTTTTGTGGCGAGGCTGTTCGTTTGATATTGCAGGTGAGGCACAAAAAGTAATTTTTACTCCGAATGGAACATGCTATTTTTTTTCAAACGTCTCAAATAATTTTTTAAACAATTTCCAACGTTGAAAATAATATCAAAAAATTTAAGAGTATTATCTTGTAAGTAATTGTAATTATAATCGAGAAAATATGGTTACGGTTCGCTGGATTTAACACTTTATGTCAATTTAATAATATATTTTCGTACTTTTATGCTTAGGTGTAAAAGTGCTATACTTTTGTGCCTAGGCGTTAAAATAACTTTATATTGTCAATAACGTCGCAAAAATTAATACTTTTGTGACGTTTGAAAAAAAAACAAATTTATCTATGGAAATGAAGCAATAATTTACTGGCTGCATTCATTTTTCCGAAATAAATGCAGTTACGGCAGTATTGAATAATTGGATGTATTGCGTTATGTAGTTAGCTGTTCTTTGAAAAATGCTCAACATTATTTCATCAATTTTTCGATTTAGCTTCATTCGTTTACACCGGGTGACTCAAAAAAAACATGTGTATCTCTTGTGGGAAGATTCCTTACGTAAAAATAAGATTTATTTATTATATTAACATAGGCCCGATTCTGCTTTGTTTCGTAGCTACAGGGGGTTAAAGTCTTGAATTTTTTTCGATTTATTATATATTTTTTCCAAGTGCTTTTAGCGTTTTGAATACATTGTGACATATGTGACAAGTGCGACATATTTTAATTCTAAAAAAGCGTCGGACAGATTCACCTGGGACGTACAGACGTGCGTATGGGTTATTAATGGAATATTTTTCAAAAAAGAAACTGTGCGCCATTGACTTCTTTCTCTTCTTTGAGGTTGTTGCTAACATATTTATGTTGTAGGTCGTTTAATGCCGATTAAAAGTTGTCTCTGGATATTTTGTCGATATCTGTCTCCTTAATGAAATAAACACAATTTTATTAATTATCTTTAATCTAAGTCTAACAGCAACCTTTACAATTTTTTATGTCATTAACTAGCCATAGTGTTAAATAAGTACTCATTGATTCCTCACCAAAACATGCGAAAAAGAGTTCCTATAAACATAGATGCAAAAACGCATAGTTTTAAAGTTACAGGATGTTCAATGTATTTTATAATAATTATCTTAAATACAGTTATTTTTTTCTTGAATTTACTGTAGGTAGTACTGAAATTCAGTGTTATATTTGATAATAAATTTGATTAAATAAATAATATGTTAATTTTATTTTTATTTTATTAAGTGTGAATTTTAATACAATTTCGTTGATCTCATCATGAAAATCGAAATTGACAAATCAAGTTACAACTTTTAATCGGCAATAAGCAAGCTACTCTCGTAGCTAATTAATTGGTTGATAAAAATTCAGAATCGGATCTATGTTAATACGAAAAATAAAGCTTATTTTACGTGAGGAATCTTCGCACGAGATATAAGGGTGGTAAAGTGTAACTGTTTGGAGCAACGTCTTTTTTGGTCGCCGTTTTTCGTCCTCGCTTACTACCTCGGAATTTAGCTATAACAATCTAGCAACCCTATTTACGACTTAAAAAATTAGCTAGTGAGTACTCCATCATGCATAAATACATAATTTGTCTCTGTACGATGACAACTTCCTCCAAACGATATGCTATTTAAATACAGTGTATTGCCAATATTCGTAAAATTTTACTAGAATTCTGTAAACTTAAAATCAACATCCTTGCTGTAAGAAAAGATGATGAAAAAACAACAGAAATTTAACAAATTATTAATATAGATGCATGTTAGATAAATATTTGCCTGAAAAAAAGGAACGTAATCAGTAATTTTAGATTTTATCTCGAGAAACGATGTTAATGTTTAAAAAATGTATCATCTAGATGCCGAAAAATTGGCATAGTTACGTAAAAATAAAAAACGGTTTTTAACCCTTTATGGGTTGATGGTCGCTAAGTCAATCATTTTAATTTAATCAACTAATCAGTCGCGTGGAAGCGTATTATCGCCCAGTTTGTGCGCTATGCGTATTTCTATGCGCGCTTTGGCCATTTAATCATATCTAGACGTTGGCCGAATTGGCGCGAAAGATTAAAGTAAGCGGTTGAATATTCGACCAGTGAGCATCAGTGACACTGAGTTTGCTGTATATCATATAGATAATAATTGTCGTCTAAGCATTTTCTATGCAAATTTTGTGTGATAAAAATTTAAAAATATAGAAACAAATATATCTGTGACGTTTATTTCTTTCTGTTTAGTGCACTAAATTTACGCCTCGGATAAAATTTTCTAAAATCGTTAACATATCCTGTATATTTTCGATCATTTCTCATAGGATGCGAGTTTATCGAAAAACAAAATTTGATTTACTTGATATGGGCAAATTTTTGAGTAGAGAGCTAACAGAGATTATACAATTCTATGTATATTTTTCCTATATCGAAGGATGCGATTAATAAGTGATAATCACCTAAGTGATTATCGCTTGGTGGCCATATTGTAATTGTCATTTTTTGAAATATTAATTTAGAATCATTTCTGTCAGTTCCAAAAATATTCTGTCAATTCTTATTACAAAATAGTAAAAGAAAGATTTGGTAAAAAGGATATATGTACTTTATTTCGTTGTATAATCTTTTGAATACAACTGGATGTTTCGGGATTACCTAATACTTTTGCCTGACACTCAATGCGACACCGGCAACACTACTCCTCCTTCGGAGTCGTAGTATTGTCCAAACCAAACCAAACATCTTGTGGTATTACATCCGATTATACAGCTCTATGTATATATTTCCTATATAGAAGAATGCGATTAATAAGTGATAATCATTTAAGTGATTATCGCTTGGTGACCATATTGTAATTGTAATTTTTTGAAATATTAATTCAGAAGACATTTCTGTTAGTTCCACAAAATACCCCGTCAATTCTTATACAAAATGGCAAAATAGGAGGGATAATATATGTACTTTAGTTCGTTGTATAATCTTTTGAATACAACTCGATGTTTGGGGATTACCTAATACTTTTGCCGAGGAGGGTAACGCATTTCGTGTCAGGTAAAAGTATCAGGTAATCCCGTATAATTCGGTAATCCCGAAACATCTTATGGTATTACATTCGATAATAGCTTACTCTTTTTTCCTACATTGGATGATACATACATGATCATAACAGTCTCTGGATGAAAAATCGACCACCACTGTCTTATTTGTTAACTTTTTGAAAATTGTTATTAAGAAGATATGCTCCCTTTGTGCTAGTTTTTATATTTTCGAAGTCAGTTTGATCAAACCAGAAAATTATCAGTACTGCCCTATAAGGGGTTAAAATTCGAGCAATAAAGGCATTTATTAACTATAGTACTCGTATTCACACCCCCATGTATACTTTTCAGTGGTACCCTATTGATATATTTAGTACAATACCTTTTTTAGATTTTTCTACCGTGTCATAAAAGAAAAATGGCGTCCAATTGGTTTAGAAGTGTTGTTTAGAATGCCTGTGTTTAGAATTTCCAAGCTAAAAGCCTGACGACGATATCTTTATTGTATGGTACTCTAAACTAACAACTTTCAACTTATTTTTAGCTTCTACCGGGAACAAGATTCAAGTCCATCTGAACGAAGTACATCCGCACGAGGTAAGCTATACAAAATATAAGGTATATCAAATTGTCCCAATATTCTATATCATAAAAATCCTCTAAACTATCCGCGAAATGTTTTACTAAATATTTCTGGAAATACTTTCAGAAGGAAACTCTCATAAGAGCCTGTATTATAAAAATTTGTTCCCACGTTTCCTGAAATAGATCGAGACGCGCCGCCGCCGTGATTGTTTGTTTGTTTTTTATTGTTAACCCTGAACAATAAAAAAACAAACAAACAATCACAGCGCGTCTCGATCTATTTCAGGAAACGCGGGAACTAATTTTTATAACACGGGCTTATATTTTTATCGCACTATTTTGTGAAATAGCACGATGCAAACAAGGTCAAACGTTGTGGTGGCTTCAGAAAAATAAGTAAGCATGGAGTATGAATAAATATCATTAATTTGTAATAAAGTGTAATGTAATACAACTATATTAAACTGATATGAAAATTCAAAAACAGTGCATTTAGAAAACAGTTACCGATGGTAGATGAAATTGGCAATTTCTCTAAGGTTACAAAAGAATATTTAGTTTTAATCTAAATTTTACAACTACAATAAAAAACAGTGAATAAAATTTAAAATGTGCCTTATAGGTTTTATTAGTTCACTATTGTTCACTATTGAAGGCATAAGAAATAGTAAAATTCAATATTTATTTACCCACAGTGGATCAGACTAAACAGTGCATTTAGAAAACAGTTACCGATGGTAGATGAAATTGGCAATTTCTCTAAGGTTACACAAGAATATTTAGTTTTAATCTCAATTTTACAACTACAGTAAAAAACAGTGAATAAAATTTAAAATGTGCCTTACAGTTTTTATTAGTACACTATTGTTCACTATCGAAGGCATAAGAAATAGTAAAATTCAACATTTATTTACCTACATAGGATCAGAACTCAAAATATATTATGTATATTATTATGTGTATATCTATACAAAATGATTTGATATTATAATACAGTCATCAGAAAAGTCTAGTGATAATTTTACAAAATCATAAATAAAATAAAGTGGTAATTGTTTAGTAAACGGTTCTTTCGTTAGTTTTAAAAAATATTTAGTTTTTTTTCTCTTGCTTGCAAAGGTAAATTCATATTGTTTATAAATATTATAAAAAGTGCATGTGCAAAAAATGTCAATACAATAAAATGTAAAAATACAACAAAATGTAAGAAAGTCATAAAATTCATGTAATGAATATACATTAATTTTTTATAGAAAAATGTATCAATGTACTATGAATGTCAAAAGATGTCAATTCATATTATAGCAACTAAAATTTAAAACAAAAACTGTATAAAATTGTAACAGCAACGAAAAAAAATAGTAACAGCGCTTTCAGATGGAGCGGACCGTCCGCGACTTCGAGCAAGTACTCATGAGTTTATATGAACAAAATCCGGACGGAGCATACGCGACCCATGTCCAATTGTTCATATAACTCAAGGTTACCATGAGGTACTTGCTCGAAGTCGTGGACGGTCCGCTCCATCTGATAGCGCTGTAAGGTAGCAAAATTCCATTTTTCGTTCACCTCAATAAAACTTTCACAAAAAGTAAGTAACGCTTTGGCAAACCCAAGTAGGTACCTAGATTAGATTTATTCTTATAAGAAAGTACGTTTTTTCGAAAATTGATGTTCAAAATTTTATAAATTACAGGCGGTTTATAGAAATTAAATATAATTTTTAATATTCAATACCGTTTCTCAAAAGTGAAACAGAAATTATTGTTAATTTATTGGTACCTACTTTAGTAGGTACCATGTGCCTTTTTCTTCTACCTACAATTAATTTAATTAATAAATATACCATTTAAAAATAAATATAATTTAAATATCTGCTATTTTTTTATATTTAGGTACGCCTGTGTATCTGCAGACAAAATTATAATATAATAATATACCTAACCCTACTTATTTTTACTTACGGGTAAAATGTTACATCTGGATTTAAATGATACACTCGCTTGTACATAATACATGAATGTACCCTATTTTCAAATTAATATCCACAGAAGTCCACAAAATAACGCAAAAATACTATAAAACTGTAATTAAAGAGTACGGAGCATAAACGGCCGAATGGCAACCTCGCAATAGTAGAATCTATATAAGAAAATTCATTCATAGTCGAGATCAGTTGTACTACGCCGGCATATTTCTAAAAGTGACGTTGCCAAACTGCTTCTTATTATTAAATTTATATTTTTATTCCATTATAAAATTTAAAATAGTTAAGCAGCAGCAACGAAAAAATTAACGTTAGCAAATTAATGTACTTGATATATTACAGAAATCTAACGAAATTATTTATTACCAATTGGTTGTAGTGTTTAAGTGAATACTAATACCAACATACAGGTAAATCTGGAAAATGTTTTCGGTGTAAATCAGATGGGAAAATAAAGATAGAATAATGTCCAATGAAGGAAAAAGGCAAACAATTGTATCTCTTGAGTTTAAATATCTTTGATTTTAATAAATATATAAAACCGTCTAAGCATTTCTTTTAAACCGTCTTTCATTCGTCAATAGTCTATGCTGCTGGCGGTAATTTTATTCCGCACATCAAATGAGATAATTAAACTTATTTAGAAAACTCTAGATAGAGATACTGTAGTGGTATATTTACAATATATTAATTATATTGTTGTAGCGACAAGTACACCACCAGCAGCAGCTGCAGAACAAGATTCAAGTAAGACAAATTTTTATTTTCGAATTTTATTTTTCTAACATCCTCTATATATCGTTTAGGGCTTCAACGTGCTCAGCTGGAAATAAAAGCATGGGAACAAGAGACGAAGCTAAGACAAGGATCGCCAGAAGCAAGAAGAATTATAGATGAGGCTCAAGGGCAACTTATGTTAGGTACACAATAAATTCTTCGAAATCTATATGTTATTGATTTTTATTTGAGTAAATTAAAAACAATATTTAAGCATGTTGTCTTCCACAGGTGCACCAGGAGTGAATGAGGAAGCGGTAGGTAAATAGATTTATATATCACTTAAAGTCTGAAAACAACGTTTTTATAGCCTTTTCCTACACAAAAACCACAGAGGGTCCTTCCGAAGCCAGCATTTTCTCCCACAACTGGTTCTCCCTTAAATGTCCCAAGTTACGACATTCAACCAGATGATCTTGGTGTTAATTATGACGATGGTACGTTTATACTAAAGAAAGAGCCAAACAAAAACACTATTTTTTTAATGTTAAAGAATACATTCATTAAATACGGAACTACGATATTCCCATTTTCTTTCAATATTTTTAGTGTAAATCCTTTGGTGTCAGATTTGTTTGACTTCTCAATTGACAAATTTGAATAATTACCATTATGTTACTTTGGAAAACTAATAGTCTAAGACCTGACGACATATTTAGAGAACATATTTTAGACAAGTTAGAATAGCAAAAAAATTATATTTTATTAACTGGTGAATCCAGAACCCTAAGTTTGGCAGAGGTATTGCGGTTATTTCGCTGCTGCGCAACACATGACATTTGCAATAAAATATATCTAAAAAATATCCTTTGTGCAACTTGAAATTTGCTCATTCCCAAATTTTAGCATCTATGTAACTCAGAAATAAATATTCCAGATTTTTTTTTGCTTTTAAAGTGTAACCAGACTATCCTAAATATATTTAATAGGTATACTTGGAAAATGTATTGGTGAAAATGTCTTTATGTCAGGCACGGTAGAAAACGAATGGACAGTAAACGATTTTATTTAGATTACTTTTAAACTGAAATTATTCAACAGCCATAAATTGGTTCCATTAAATGTTATATAATATAATTTTTAGATGAAATAAATAAGGAAAAGCTTTAGCACAGAATGTTACAACAGAAAAATAAAATACATGCTTTAGTTAACATTAGTTAAATAATGAGAAACCCTCTTTTCCTTTAATAACATTCTTGGTCACAATAACCTGAACTTACAATTACAGTTGATAGTTGGAACCTTTGGTGTTACACAGCAAAATAAAAACACTAAATCACCACAATACACCAAAACACTTTTACTTTTACACTGGACGTGCGTTTCGCTAACCATGTTAGCATCATCAGCAGATGATTATAAGCTAAAGTACAATCTACATGTTGAGCGTTTATATACTCGCTCAGTGGGCACCGAGTGGGCGTGGCAAAACTAGTCAACCGAGTCAAAGCCCACTGAGCGTAACAGTTAGATTTCCGCCACTAGAATAGTAGGAACAAAGAACTTGAAGGAATTGGACCGTTATCTCTGTTCATACTATCTTTACATTTATTATTAATAAACTAAACTTAAAATTAACATTACAGTTGAGGGTTGGAACCTTTGGTGTTACACAGCAAAATAAAACATTAAATCACCACAAAACACCAAAACACTTTTACTTTTACACTGGACACGCGTTTCGCTAACCATGTTAGCATCATCAGCAGATGATTATGAACTAAAGTACAATCTTCAAGTTGAGCGTTTATATACTCGCTCAATGGGCATCGAGTGGGCGTGGCAAAATCTAGCCAACCGAGTCAGGGCCCCCTGAGCGTAACAGTTAGATTTCCGCCACTAGAGTAGTAAGAACAAAGAACTTGAAGGAATTGGACCGTTGTCTCTGTTCATACTATCTTTACATTTATTAATTATGATGCTTTCATATGCATCTAATTTCCTGTAATTTGAGACTTGTTTAATTAATTTTAAATTATTAAGATCTATACAATGTTCTTTATCAACAATATGTTCGGCAACGCAAGATTTATCCGGTCTACCATATCTTATCTGAGCTAAATGTTCTTTAAATCTAGTTAATATTGATCTTCTACTTTGCCCAACATATTTCTGATTACAATCTTTAACAGAAATTTTATAAATACCCGACCTTTCCAGTGGAGGTGTTTTATCCTTTGGATTACCTAATAATTGTTGTAATTTATTATTAGCACTATACACAAGTTTATAATTGACATTCTTAAAAATTCCTTTTAGACCACGGATAACTCTCTATCAAACGGTATTGAAAAATATTTAGACGTATCTTTCTCCACTTGAAAAGTCGAATTTTCAGAAATCATTAACCTATACCTACGTTTTCTAATTAATTTATCAACTAGTGAAGGAGAATATCCATTACACTCAGCTACATTCCTAATGTAATCTCTTTCTATTTCATATCTTTCGTTGGAAACTAAGTAATCTATGAACTAGAAACATGTGACAAATTTATACTCTGAATGCTGAATATATGTGTCTGAATTAAATATGATACAGTTTTAGCAATGTTGTGGACCTACCCAAATCTAGTACTTGATTTGTTACTAGATTTAGTATCTCGACTTAGCTCACTTCAGAAAGAGACGCTTGCGATTACATAGGTCACACCTAAGAAGATGTTTAATTTTATAAACATTTTATGTTTAATATTTTGTGATATTTTTAAGTAGATTTCTTAATAGGAAATTTCTGATTATCTATTAACAGAACTTAATTTGTTCGGTACAATTACTGTATATAGGTTGAATCTTAAATAAATGCAAATATTTTTAGTGCTGGTATATCTCGATAAAAGAAAAATATATTTTCTTTTTGCCGTTTTTCAAATAATTCCAACATAACCGAGTTATTTAAGTTTGAAAATAAAAAAAACTAAAAAAAATTGAAAAAATTTTGAGAGCCACCGGTTTTTTTCTGTAATTTGTTCGTCTAATTTTAGGTTGTATTCCGTTGCAAAACCAGGCAAACCAGACCGGGAAACTACGGCAAAGAGCGGTTCCTGAAAAACATTGGTTTGGTAAAATATTGGAAACGTCAAATGTTGACGTTTTCTAAATTTCAATACATCTATTATAAAATTTATCTTTTATGCATTTTTAATGTACCTATTCTCTGCTTTTACGTTTGCTTCTTCTATTCAATGGAGTTTAATATTGAAAAGTACATTATTAAAAAACCGTGTTCCGTAATAAGAAAACTTTCAGGAAACCGATAGAAACGGAATACACCCTTAATCTTCTATCGATGTTGTCACGTTTTTAAGATATATTTTTTTAATACTACTAATAACCGCCACCCAAAGGGTATTACAAAGGCGCACTTCTTCGTTAATGGAAATAATGTTTTAAAGATGTAAATAGAAAAAGCTTATACATATGTTATTTAAATAGCATATTATGCTATTAAGTTATTATTTATTATATCCGTAACATGCAAGTCCTGCTTTATCTGTCGACAATAACAGACAGAAAACCAATGTCTTTCCATTTTCTTAAGCACTCACGAAACAGACGCACTTACTAACAAAATCCATCTTTGGAAAATCACTTTCTTTAAGATATTGCGCCTTTCTTATGCAGGTATATGATATGGGAAGGAGTTTGCTTTTGTTGGCTTATATTCTAAAGACACTTGACTCTTGACTGATATATCTAATTGGGAAGTCAATCTTCGTGTTATTATAAATAAAAATGAATTGTATCAACTTAAAAGCACTTTGAAAATAGCAAACACATTCACTTCGAATTTTAAATCTGTCTCAACTGTTTTATGGATTTTACTTTCTCTACGATAGGGGCGCTGTTAGGCTATAGAGGTGCGTTTAATAGTTCTTTTTTAAATAAATCGCGCAAACTAGTTTCAGAGATAAACACCTAGTTTATCTCTGCTAGTTCACTTAGTTCTCACCAGAGACAATCCCACTAAATAATCGTCCTAATAGGTCGTTCGCAAATTACATACCTCTACGCAATTAATTTAGTCTTAAATGTATAAGGGCTCTCTAATAAGATATTACGTCAAAACTACCCAAAACTGTCAACGCCTTTGACAGTTGACAGAATAACAAAACAATGTTAACTATTTTAATTATAAAATGGACGAAGAATCGTTTATAATTTTGTTAATTAAGCTCATTATTTTCTTATTTGAAAAATTTCAATGTCACAAGGAGATAGATAAGAAAAATGTTTTTCTTGTAATTTGTATGAATTGGGAAAAAGTGTTTTGTATTTCACGGATTATGTATCTATAAATGAGTGCAAAAGTATAGTGGTTTGGTGTATTGTTGTGAATTAGTGTTTTATTTTGCTGTTGTAACACCAACGGTTCCAACCCTCAACTCTAATATAAATTAGGTACAAAAGATAAAACCCTTAAAATCGAGTAAAAACAATTTATTATACTCAAAACACACGTTTTATGTATTCGTTATTAGAGATCGAGTTATAATGATGTATGCTAGTACCGAAAGGTGTAATCCGGTGTTTAACCATAGTAAATTTTTGATATTTTTAATATAAAATTCAGTTGAAGTGATTAAAAAGTACTCTCTCAATACAAAAAGAAATGCAACGAAGTTACAATTAAGGAATAAATAATAAATCAAATTCAATACAAATTTCACTGGTTTGAAAAGACGCGTAGAAAATTGTGACGTCATTTATCAGCATTTGACTGAATAGTGGACAGAGGGCGCGAGCCTCTACAACCCCTGCAAATATTTGCACTTATTTAAGATTCACCCTATACAATATTCCCAATATCAGATGCGAACGTTATTCAAATTGTTATTAGTCTGTACTGTCCGACAAGCGGATGCTATGGGGCATCGGCAAGGGGAACGCAGTTGTAACCAAAACACACCCGATTTCATTCATAAAATACTCAGAGGCGTGAGTTATGAAAATACTGCGTATCAAATATAACTATATTCATAAACAAAATTACATTACTTTTTACATTTAAAGTAAAATAATGTTATAAAGTTTACTGGAAAATATTATAAATATTCCTGATATATTTTTATAAAACACCGCACGCCTTTGATTATTTTATGAATGAAATCGGCCATGTTTTTAGAAAACTGCGTTCTCCTTACCGTTGCCCGGTTGCTTCAGATCCACTTGTCAGACTGTACTTACTGAATTTAAGATACGTTTACACTTATAGCTTTTAAACTAACATAAATAATAGTTAATCGTAACGGGTTTTTGCACATTATTTGTTTATAGTTTTAGATATTCCCCCTACACCGTTCCCACCATGTGGATATTCCTCACCGCCAGCTGCTCAACGAGATGATCTTTTTACCCGATTGGGAGCACCTGAAATCACAACTGATGACTTTAGGCAAGTTTACAGTAAAAAATCACAGTCCTTTATAACTGAGGGCATTAAAAATGAGTGTTTTATGCTACATATTATTTAATTACGGATAAAGTATTTTCAATGAGAGAATACATAACAGTGAGAATTATTGTCTCTAATTTTAATAATTCACAGGCAAAGTGTGTTTTTGTCATTATGTAGATGTGGTCTGTATAAATTCCTCCGTGATTCATTGGAAGGCTTTATTGGCATAGAAATGATTCATCAATATGTTTTTTGGTACAGATTTCCGGAAATTCACGGACTTCAAATTTTTCTACATAAAAGAAATGTTTGTCTTAACTATAATAAACTTTTTATATATTGAATGCCCAGTATTATCTTTATTTTAGGCCAAGACCACCACAGTATTTCCACCCGGGACTTGATATTGCTGCAGATGATTCACCACCTCCTCCTTTATGTATGGAAGAACAGATTTGTGAGTCAGCTAGTGGAGGGTATGTACTCTAAATTATACATAATTGTTAAATATTTGGTGACCTACGTGCAATACCTAGATAGGCATGTGCGGTCCTCTGGTATACCGGTACCAGGACTGGTACTTTTGAAATATTCCGGTATCGGCATCGTCTTTTATAAAACCGGTATACCGGCTTTGGTACCGGTACCGGAAGACCGGTTTAGGTACCGATACCGGAAAACCGTTATCGGAAGACCATTTTCAATCGGTACAGAAAAATAGGTTCATGATAATATGCAAGTCAAAAAATCTTTATAAAACGATTTCGGTACCGGATTTTGTACAAAGCTGTTTGTGTTCCCCTACTCTAAGTATAATATAAACAATAGCAACATAAGTAGAACATTTTTATAATATAGGTTTTTGTATGTAATAAATATAACAAACATTTATCTTATTATATTATATTATCCTCATTATAGCTTAATTATTTCTTTCTCACAACAAAACTCACATTGAAATACAAGAATCATACAAAATTCTGACCTATTAAAAAAATGCCTTTGAGGTTCAAGTGTGGTATTAAAAAATCAAAGTTATTTTCCAACTAGAGAAATAAAAAAAACATTCTTCCTTTATTTTTGAAAGCTACTTTTTGTAGTGTTGAAATATACTCTCAAGTGTAAATCCGACGTTTATATTATATAAAAGTGCTTTATTTACAAATATTAACAAACAAGCTCTTAACTTTTTTAATCCGTCAGATAAGGGGTTGTTCAACACAGCAGTATTTACAGGCAGGTACTGGGTGGTTGTATTAAAAAGACACTGCTTCTCGAGGGCAAGAACGCAAGCAAACCCTCTGTAACAATTAAAGTAACAATTGTCTGATACATTTACATTTTTTAATACGGTATCTTGCGGTGTATTCCCACTGGCACAGCAACCAAAACTGTTATTTCTGTCTTTTCGATATTCCGGTCGAATCGGTCTTCCGGTATAGCGGTTCAGTATCGATCCCACCGACCAATTCTTGGAACCGGTATACCGGTTGTAGGATCGGTACTTCGTGGTACCGGATACCGGTACTGAAATCTTAGGACCAAACATCCCTATACGTAGATGCCCAGGGGTTAGTGGTAAGAGTGTAAGCAAAGAATATTTTAATACGTGACACACGGCATTGAATGACGGCCACGAGACGCGCGATCTAGCGATAGGAAAAGTGATAGCGGCAGTGTTTCCACAGCTACCCCATTGGTGGTAGATCTACCGCGTTGTAAAACAATTTAACCCCGCTATCTCGTGATAATCTATCCTGATAAAAAATAAGCTTGTGACAACACTATAAGAAAATCACTATAATAAACTTGATACTGAGCTAACCTTCATTTCATGCATATTTTCATCGATAGATTTGTAGCTTATGAATAACGGTCTAGTTAAAGCATCTAGCTCATTTGCCAACTCAGAATTAGAATTTAAAGTTAGTAACTAGCATTTTCATTGAAGGACACTTATATTTATTTCAAACCAATAATCAACGAGAATATTTGTATAATTTAATAAAATTACTGTAAATCACTCTGAATAATGAATTGTTTGTACCTAATTGACTTGTAATTTCTGTATTATTAATTCGGTAAATGATGGAGATAAACAGTTGTGGTTGATTAAAATTTTATTTTAAGATGAAACTTTTGTTAACAACATTCTGAGGATTCGAATAATAAATTGAATAATGACAAGACAAGTGACATCTGTCTAAAAAAGACAACGATTTAGAGTGACAATTCGGTTATGTAATTAGATTGACAATTTTGATTATGCAAAAGAAATACTATTATATGAGTTTACTAGTTGTCTAATGATTAACATTAATTAAAAAAAAATCTCCAACATGAATAATGAACAAAATATTTAAACAAAAACAGACCACATACCACACAAAACAAATCGTTGGTTAGTAGCAGTTAGTAGTATGCAGAGATATAGATGTAGTAATATTTTGGTTTAATGCCCACAGCTATCCGGCCCGGTAACAGAATTATCGTTTTTTAATAAAAATTAAAAAAAAAAAACATTATAAAATTTTAAAGCTAGAATAGTATGGCGGTTTTATATCAACTCTATTTTTTTGAAGTTTATAAAAAGCATTCATAAAAAAAATATATATATATACTTATATATATATATATATATATATATATATATATATATATATATATATATATATATATATATATATATATATATATATATATATATATATATATATATATATATACCGAGGGGTGTCTCACTAGGGTAAAAAATGTACACGTATTGCCAAAATGTCATTTTATACAAGACTGCCAGTGACTGCCGACGACTGCCAGCGACTGCCAGTGACTGCCAGCGACTGCCAGCGACTGCCAACGACTGCTAGCGACTGCCAACGACTGCCGGCTCAGCGTTATCTTAAGTTCCGGGCCTTTGTCGACCCTTGACATATATTATTTATCAACACATATGTGTACAGGGTGGGCCAAATTGGACGCATTTAAAGTGAAACACCCTTTTCTGTAGGAGATAGACGAAGACTAATATCGGTGTCTGGAGCTTAATTTTTATCAAAAACATGACGGTGAAAACCGCAAATAGATATCTGTTACCGTTTCGGAATTACGGGATGTTTTTCAAAAAAGTGCATTTTTAACTAATCACTGTAACTTTTTTGCTATAGAAAATTTTGTATTTTTATGAAAACATTTCCAAAGCACCTTTTTATGTAGAATTTAATAGTTTAAGAATATTTTTTTTTAAATTAACAATTTAGGAATTATGAATAGAAATTTGATTGTTTATACAGGACACCCTGTATATTTTTAATTCATTGAAAATAATTTAACTTGATATTTTGCTCGATTCCTCTTCTCTCGAGATATACAGTTTGTAAAAATTCGCCCACTTTGAATAAGTAGGCTTTGAACGGCGGAATAATATTTGCAATTAAAGATGCAGAATTTTATAACAATTTAAATTACATTTAACAACATCAACACATTTATACTATATCTAATAACAATAAAAATTAATATCAAACCAAGATTTGAGATTTTGGTTGTTCGATATGTCAACCGTCTTCTGTTATGGACAGACGGGGCAGTTTTTGAACATTTCTCGCGGAATTAATTATGTAATTCAGTGGGGATGAAAGATACCCTCGCATAAGTAGTTCTAACTCTTGCCTAGATTATATATGGGCAATTTAAAAATAAAAACCTTTATTCTTCCGCAAAAATAAAAATCCATAGGAAATAAGTCCGCCGCGCCGGCCTCGATATCCAACGCCAGGGATCTTGGTTAGCTATTGAATTATTCTCGAAATTGGCTGCAAAAATTTGATGATAACTTCAGCATTCTGAAGCGGTGCCTTGTCTTGCTGGAAAAATATGTTTTCGTTTTTGATTTTTTCGACTATACAGGGTGTCCCAGAAATAAGTGCAAGTATTTTATTTTTTATCTCGATAAAAGAAACATATTTTCTCTTTTTCGTTTCTCAAATAAGTCCAAAATAATGGAGTTATTTTACTTTGAAAATTTCGAAAAAACATGATTTTTTGCTAAAATTTTGAAAACCGCTGGATTTTTTTTCTTGTAAATTTAATCTAATACCTATGTTGCTATATTATCAAGAAATTATGTTTTTTAATTAAAAACTAAAAAAAAATCCAAAAAATTTTTCAAAAAATTTCGAATTTTGAAAAAAAATTTTCGTGAAAAATACCTCATAGGCGTGTTTCTGGGTTGAACTATACTACCAGTTAAAATACTTGCAATTATTTATGGGATGTGTGTTATCAAAAAGCATGTGCCATCTTTCGTGGGCAAATTCCTCGCGTAAAAATAAGATTTATTTTTCATATCAACATAGGTCCGATTCTGCTTTGTTTTGTAGCTACAGGGTGTTAAAATCTTAATATTTTTTCGATTTATTGTAATTTTCTTCCAAGTGCTTTTAGCGATTCGAATGAAATTTTGAGGGTAAAAGTTACTATTAATGCGATATATTTTAACGCTAAAAAAGTGTCAACATATTTACCAGGGACGTGCATATGGGTTTCCTCTGGAATATTTTTCTAAAACAAGCATGTACGCCACTGCCTTTTTTCTCTTGTTAGCGCAATAGTGTAAGTCGTTTAATGTCGATTAAAAGTTGTCTCTTCATATTTTGTCCATTTCGCTTTTCATTTGATTCAGGTCTAATAGCAACCTTTAAAAACATTTAATATCATTAACTTGCAACAGTTTTAAAAAGTATTTTTTGATTCAAAAATCATCAAAAAATATGAAAAAAGTTATTATAAACATGGCTATGGAAATGCATAGTTTCATAATTACAGGGTATTAAAACTCTTTAAAATAATTTTTTTTTTGTAATAATTATCTTAAATATCATTTTTTTTTATTTGAAATTGCTGTATGTTGGACTAATAGTAATGATAACTAACAGTAATAATATTTAATAATAAATTAGGTAAAATATATAATTTATTAATTTTATTTTTATTTTAATTTTATTAATTGTGATTAACAAAATTGCGTTTATCTCATCCAGGAGGCCGAAGTGGCATTAAACGGTCTACACAATTTTGATATCAAATGAAAAAAGTCAGTGGCGCACATGTTTTTTTGAAAATATCCCAGTGACAACCCATATACACGTCCCTGATGCATTTATTAACACTTTTTTAGCATTAAAATATGTAACATAGTAACACCCTCAAAATTCCATTCAAATCACTAAAAGTACTCGGAAGGAAATTATAATAAATCGAAAGATTATTAAGACTTTAACATCCTGTAGCTACGCAACAAAGCAGAATCGGAACTATGTTAGTATGAAAAATAAGTCTTATTTTTACGTGAGGAATCTACCCACGAGAGATGGCACATCTTTTTTAAAACACCCTGTATAATTTTTGTTTTTCGATTAGGGGCAGATCATCAATAAGAGGTCCACAGCCTACTAGATAAAAGTGACGAACTTTTAAA